CCCTGGATGTGGACAACAAATGACACTAATCAGATTGACATAAACGATTTAACCTTTGTTTAGGGAGGCAAATGCAAAGCATTTACTCCCAAGTGTCATTGGTTTAGGGAAGATAGGATTTCTGCTCAGTTTCCCTATTTTACTTGTCCCAGCTTACTGGTCTATCATGCATTCAATTTTCTTAAAATGTATTCTGGCACAGGAGAAAGTTGTTTTGCTGTCCACCGGTAGTTTAACCCCTATATAACTGGGCTTGGACCTCTGCCCAGCAAACTGCAGTCTATAAGTTCAATATGCAGCCTCTGGTTTTTCTAACCCAACGAGATTTCAGCCAGTCTCTGAGTCCGATTCCTTCTCTTGTGGAGAATTTCAAAGTCCTGATGGCTCCCAGGTCCAGGGAGAGTGCCCTTTTGTTAACCCTTAGGGCCCTGCTTTCTTGCCTTTCTACCAGTTTCCTTCGTGGCAGAGCAGCAACCAGGCCTCTTTCAAGGGAGTGCACTAGAAGGGGATATCAGCCCCTCCCGTGAGCCAGCTGCTCCACTTAGGGTCTCCCAGGAGCTTGGCCAGAATGTCCCCCAGCAAATCCCGGAAGCCGCTGCCCTTTTGCAGTGATATGGACTCAAGCAGGGGGTTCACTGGATGTAGCCAGCAGCGAAGCGCTCGCTGGCTTCTGCCTGCAGCTGCTCGCGCCCACAAGCCCTGCCCCGCAGCACTCCCGCAGCACGCGCTGCACTGTCAGCTCCAGCACCTTGGCATTCTCCAGCTTAGCCTGCACCTGCGCTGGTGGGGGTGCCAGGTGGGGGAGGGAGGTGAGGCCAGGCTATGCCCTGTATGAGGATTCTAATAAACAATTGAAAACAGCAAGTTAAACAAAATACAGTCACAGGCAGTAAATATCTCCGTCCTGCGGAGCTGTCCACCAAAGAGATAAGAAAACCATGAATAACAAGTTCTTTGAAATTTGCTATTTTGTTAATTTGCTAAGCAAATAGTCAACTTGAAAAGACTTCTTTCTTGCTTTTTTTATAAGCAATCTCAGAACTAAGCAATCTTGGAATCTAGACAGCCTTTGTTAAACTTCTTTGAGTTTCAACCTTATACCTTTAAATTAACCCCAGACTTCTAAAATTTTAACCTAACGCAGCAAAATCATACATCAGAGCAAAGCAATTAAAAGTTCTCCGCTGTCTTCCCCTTAAAGCAGGGTTTTTCCTCATGTGTACAAACAGACAGCACAAAGTAGCTTTCGCTTTACACAGACCAGTTCCAGTCCCCCTTCTCTGTAGTAAATTGGCTAGTCCCACACAAACAAACTTTGTCCCAGCCCCATGATGATTGGTGATGAAAGACAATCAAGGCTCACCGCAGTGGCCCTGGAGAACCACACCTGAGGCTGGCAAGCAGGTTTGGCCCAGCCCTTGACTTTAAAACGACCATAATGCTTAAAGGAGTAGATTGAGTCTGTCCCATAATGTCCGTCCAGTAAGTCCACAGAATAAAACAGAAAAACACAGACACAGACAAAGGGCCCCCAAAAAGCAAACAAAAAAACCAGCCTTCTGACTCCACGGAAACAAAACCAAATGGCAGGAGCGACCCGCCTTGTCTCAGATCCTTGTGAGGGGATTCTGCATCCCTCCTGAAGTAAGGGGATTCCGCGTCCCTCCTGAAGTGAGGGGATTCCACGTCCCTCCTGAAGTGAGGGGATTCCGCATCCCTCCTGAAGTGAGGGGATTCCATGTCCCTCCTGAAGTGAGGGGATTCCGCGTCCCTCCTGAAGAGAGCAGAACGTCTTCCGACTCTCCCCGCCCGTGGTCCCTTAACAGCGCGTCCACCTAGACTGCTTCAGGCATCTCAGAATGAGGGGATTTCACATCCCTCAGAAATGAGCTCACACAGGACAGAACATATAACACACAGAACAGAATACACAACACACAGACACCTACCGCGGTCAGTCAGACTCTCCGGATTGGGGTCCCTCGTGGGTTTTGGGGGTCCCGCACGAGCCCCCAAATGTTATGCCCAGATTTCAAGATGCCCAAGACAGACCACCAGGGAGCCGAGTCCAATGCAAAAGCATAGAGTCTTTTATTCAAGCCCAGGCTTGGTCCCCCTCTGCCTCCATTACTGGATGCGAGAGAGAGCCCCAAGTCCCAAGAGAACAAAGAATTTGTAGGGGGTGGAGGCACTTGGTCGATTCCGGTTGGTTGAGTGAGGGCCGGGGGCTAGTTTCCCTTGCTTTCCCATTGGCTGAGATAAGGGCAGGCTGAGTAACTGATACATTCTGTGGCTTTCCTGGGAGAGGAGTTAGAGACACAGCTATCAGTTCCGTTCTGTTCTTTTACTATCAGTTCCGTTCTGTCCTTTTGTTAGGGACACAACTATCAGTTCCGTTCTGTCCCTTCAGGTGTCTCTGTGCTAAGAAAAGGTGCAGGAATTGCTGTTAGAGTGGGAGTGCACTTCTCTTTCCCCCATGTCAGAATTAGCATTGAGAGTCTTAAGTCATGTTGACATCATGGTCTCTTGATAGGATGTGTTCTGTCTGGTCTGTCAACCTCTAGTAATTGCCCCATTCCAAACTATTCTCTACTTTACCTGCAGCCCGAAAGATATTTGAAAATGTAAATATGATCATGTGTTTTATTTAAAACTGACAGTGGTTTTCTGTGGCCTTTAGAAGCAAGTCCAAAATCCTTAGCATATCCCTCCAGGCCCTCCATATGCTGACCTTTGCTTATTTTTCCAGTCTTGTTCCTCCTTCACTCCTTTCTTCTGGTCACACTTTGAGATCCTCATTGGCATCATACTTTCCTACCACAGCTTAGAGCTGTGTCATGCCTTGTGCCCAGAGTTGTCCTCTGGAATAGTTGGAAGACTGTAGATACTTCTTTTAAACATTTCCCATCTTTCCTTGTTGTCCTCTCTGCTCCCACACATACCCATTTCTTGCAATACCAAGAAATGATACAACCTTGCCCACATTCAAGAGTTGTATCTCATTCATTATGGAAGCTGAGGATTTTAAGCAAGAGAATCCTGATGAAAGTGTTTTCACAGGAGGGATTTGTTTTTCTTACAAAGTAACAAACCCATAGGTGGGTGGATCTAGGATTGAATTCAGCTGCTCATTCTCTTCACTATTCACTCACGGTCACAATATAGCTGCCAACAACAGAAAGGTGGCACAGCACTCAGCATCAAAGAAAGGAAATAAGTCTTCTCTTTATTATTGTTCTTTTTCTCAGGGAGGAAAATATTGTCTTGGAAATCATCTCTGAGACTCTTTCACAAGCCCATGACCACAAGTATCCCAACTGTGAGGGACATGGGCAGTTGAGCACCAAACTGCTACTGAAGGAGGCTGCCTCTGCCCACGAGGACGAGTCAGGGAATGGCCGTGGGAAAGTGGTCTTCCTGTTTATATGATGGGCGCTAATGGTCCTGTAAATGTCTTCTGTGTGGACTTGTGGAGGAAAGGTCTCCTGACATTCAGGGATGCCTATTTTCAGTCTATTTGCTAGTATCGTTACTCTCTCCAATATGGTTACCACTAGCTACATAAAACTTCTTAAAATTAAATTTACATGAACTAAAATGAAGTAAAACTTAAAATTCAGTTAGTGTTGACCTTTAGGTTTCCCTTGGTGTATACCTGGGGAGTGTTGGCTTGGTTTATAAACCAGCTGGTTTTCATTCAAACCAAATAGAAATCAAAAGTTAGAAAATGTGTCTCCCCTCAGAGCAAGAGTATTAACATGAGAATGACCGCCTATGAGTGATTCAGCCACATGTTTGTATGGATTGACATGATGTGACTTCATCTTACACAGCAAGCTTTCTTTGTGAAATATTTGCTACAGATCACATTCCCATTTTTTTATTTTGGCTTAAAAATTATTGACATGTTGGGTTTAATTTTAATTATAGGTTTTTTCAATATGTCAGTGAACTGTGGCCCTTCAGGTAGGACTAAGAAGGTTTTCCTTGTTTTCATACCATCCTGTCCCAGTGCAACCATTGCCTGTTCCTCAGTTGAATTTGACCAGTATGTTCAATTCTGGGCTCAAGAAGGAAACATAAAATGATTAAGTAAGTGTTCAGTGGAGAGAGTTCTTTTGCATTATTTCAGTTACAACCAATGCAATGCTCTTTCTCTCCCTAGTGATTTTAAATATTATTAGCCAGCCTAGTGGCTCTCAGTGCTCAGATAGCAAATCAAACTAAACACTGAGGGAAGTAGAATGTAGCTCATTAAGTTAGTTTTGCTTTTGATGAGATCATTTTTAGATCTCAAACAGCAGTGGGGAAAATTTAGAAAGACGATATTGGTGAGATAATTCAAAAACTCTTAAAGTGTCTTCTATATAAATAGTTAGTCTTGAAATATCTGGTAATGAATATATGATCCTCGTACAAAAACCAGAAAATAGACTGAGCAAAAAGGGAAGAGCCAGTCACTTATAGTAGTCTCTCTTGCAAGAGTTCACAAGTGTTGACATTGTGGTGGATACATTTCCAAATTTTATTTCTCTATTTTATCAGTTTATATTTGTTTACGTATCACAAAATTTAAATCTGTTTTAGAAGTGATTTAAAAATGTATACTTCCATATTTATAATGGTTACACATAATGCACGAATATTATTTATTATGCATATGTATATGAGCAGGTATTGTCTACAGATATTTTTAATCAACAACTTTATTTCTATTTGTTCCAAAGTATTTCATTTAATGGTATATAATTCATTTAATAGAAACTATTGTTTTTGGCTATTATACATATACTGTTGGGGTGTATTCCTCTTATTTGTCTACATATTTAGGATAATTGCTTAGAATTTTTAAGACAGAAAAAAAATAAGGTTCAAAAAGACACCTCCATGACGACTTCGGGTACAGCTTCATGCCTGGCCAGGCCAGGGAGGGGCCTCTGGCTGGCCCCGCTGCTGTCCCCTGAGCAGGCCCTTCCTCTGGCTCTGGAGTGCTCTGGAGCCCTGGAGGTGGACCTGGAGCAGGAGAAATGGACAGATTCACACACAGACCTGACGTTCCGTGCCTTGCCAAAGACAGGAAAGATGCCACTGCCTATAAGGGCACTGCGGCCCATGAATCTCCCCTCCCCAGATCACCTTCTCAGAATGCGTTTCCCTCACCTTCCAGCATGGCCTTGGTGGGCTCCAGATGCTCCAGCTCCATCCAAAGGAGATGGGCGTGGCCCGCATGGTGTGGGGCAGGGAAGTTGGCCTGCACTGAGGCTTGCTTCAGCTGGAACCAGGGGAAGCGGAGAGCCCGGCCAAAACCCTGCACCTGGTCGGGCCAGGTTCCCACCGTAGAAGCAATGGCTCTGGGGAGAGGTGGGTAGGCAGCGGAGCCAGAATCTTGGTCTTTGCTTATACACAGCCCTCCCAGGGCACCCTTGTTTGGGACCAGACCTCTGTGCCTGCCCCTGCCCCTCTAGGGGACAGCTTCATGCCAGCCCCAGCCCCTTAGTGGCTGTTCTGAGAGCAGCAGGCCTGATGATTAAGCAACTTTTACACGACATCTGTGTCTTTTCTTCCCATTGACAGTTCTGAATGTCCTGTCCCCCGCCCAGCCCTCCATACACCTGGCATCTGCACTGAGGGTTGAGACAGATGTGTGAGCAGGCCATTTTGAGCCTGGTGTTGGTGGTCAGGAGAGATGATTGTGGAGAGGGGCAGGAAGAGCAGGATGGGGCTGGGGTAGGTTTGGGTCTCCGGGGGACAATTCAGCCCACCCCTCTTCTTAGGTCCTGTGAGACCAGGGGCCCATCCTCTTGGACCCCTGTCCTCCCAGAATAGAAGCCATCAGGGCTCAGGCCTCCCTTGGGAATGAGAAGATGTGTAAGATCGTGGTTCTGCCAGGCCCTCTCCATGCATTGCCTTCATCCTGTGGACTCAGGAGGCCCTCCTTCTGGACCCAAAGACCACTCGCTTTTTGACTTGGTCCTGTGTGTGTCACCCTGGTCATTATGAGGAGGTATGCCTCCAGATGTGGAGAAGACCTTGATGGCATCAGATCTGATGGGTGGGGGACAGGACCTGAGAATGATGGACAGTGTCACTGTCTGATTCACCGAGTGGAACTGGGGCCCAGGGATTGTGTCTCCTTTATTCTCCGAGTTATGCTAAGTGTCTCCAAAAGTGCCTACTTGTGGTAGGTGTTTAATACACATTGTCGAATATATGAACTCCAACGAGAACCATCCCAGATATATGAGTGGGCCTGTGGCCCCCTGCTCTCCCTAGTTTGCCAACACCAACGATGACGACAGGGATCAGCTAAGTGGATTCCTGAACTCCTTGACTGGTTGTTTTCTACGTGCTTTTGCAAACTCAGAAATGTCACAGGCCAAGAAAATATAAAACTAACAGAATAAAATAAAATGAAAAAAACAGAAATGCCACAGGCCACTGATGGGTCAGGCAGATGACTTTTCATGGGGGACAGATAAATAATTGGCATGAACAACTATAGCCCATCCAGCAGCCCTTTCAGCAGAGCCAGGCAGCAGGTTGGCACCTGCCATGGCTCATCCCTACAGTAGTCTCTGCAAGAACCTTATGAGGTTTATCCTCTACCCCCCACCCCACTTTTCAGAAGAGCGAGCTGAGACTCACAGAGATATGGTGACATTTTTAAGACACAGAGCTAGCAGTGCTCAGAATCACCACTGTGCCTAAGAAGGGGGAGTGTGCTCACCTATTATACAGCAGGTCCAGGAACTCTTGGGCTCTGGATAAGGCCGGGTGGATGGATATGAACGTGGTGGTGCGGGAGATGTTTCCACCCGGAAGAGCTGGTGCCACCGACGCTGTCACCTTCCTCAGTGTGCCTTCCTGTAGGGCCTGCATCCTGTTCGCCTCACTCAGGTTGCGTGTTAATTCAGCTGCACACTGGGTGGGTCAAGGAGGGATCTGTCAGAGGAGGATGAGGTCTGGAGCTCAGGCAGGAACTCTCAGACCCTTAGGGACGTGTGCCAGAGGAAGGACAGGAGTGTCCGTACTGAACCAGGTTCTAGGTTTTAAAGGTACCACTTAAGTTTGGTGGACGGGATATTTATACAATTGTTACCTTCTAGTCATGTTGTTTTAGCTAAGGAGCAACAGACCTCCTTGTCTAAATAGTCTTTATGAATGAAGACCATTGTTCCAATGAGTTCTCTAGAAACATCTCCATTATATAGAGATGAGAGCCCAGAGGCTTAGGGATGTCAGATGGCAGCTCCAGGGCATGCTGGTCAGAACTGAAAACTGTCCCAAGCTAGGACTGCATGACATTCCCTCTTAGCTGCCTGAGACTTCTCTGCTCCTGGCCAGGATGGAAAGGGCCTTGGGAACCTTATCCCTCCAAGCTGGAGGACGGGGTGCAGGGTAGACCCAGCCTACGAAAACCATTGTCTTCCAAAATGACACTTCTGTTTCTTCCTTTTACATTAAAGGACATTTTTGGACCCTCTTTATGGAGATCCCAGATTCAGCCAAGGGGCAAACA